AGCTATTTATACAGGGCAACTGGTAAGTTTTATTTCAACTGATTACATTTTTATTGGAGTTGTGAAATAGCGTGAAGGTTAAAACATTGGTTGTGGCGATCCATAAGGAAAATCCCAAAAAACTATGTCGGGCTCTGGCCATTGTATGTATTTGGGATGAGGAACTGAAAAGTTGCAATAGAATGCCTGTTTCAGGGGTTAAAAGCCTCCTGCACCCCTACAAGCAGCAAACATATCCAGGAATCATACTTATCTTGTATAATTGTTTGCATGTCTTTACTCTTGTATTGTTAATTGTCTGCCTGAGGTTTGCTGGTCATGGGTTCATTACATGCAGCAAAAGACAAAGGAAGCTCATTAGACCATTCTCCCAGAAGTTGCCTCTTCCAAACTAAGGACCCCTGCTTTATTAGCATATTATGGGGCTTTGAGTAAAATTTTGGCCCCCCCCCCCCTACCTCCCAGATCCATGGATATAAATGCAGGTAAATTACATTTACTGTATTGAAATTTAGTATTCTTATATACAGATACAGATTAATTTTATTGCCCAATAATTTTTGAAAATTACATTGCTCACTTGCTATATAATAAATAATTATCTTCTTGAATAACTTAAATTTAACTCCCTTATCCCAGCTGGGTAAAATGAGTACTTGTAACGGTCCATGTGCGCACCTACTGTCCTCATTCTACCACTTCTGCTTATGCGGGAGCTGATCATATACGCGTGGAGCAGATGGCTTTTATCCTCTAGGATTTTTTTTTAAACAATGGCAAGACGAGTGACCAGTGACTGCACAGGCGAACCAATAACTTTCCCTACCCTACCCAGCACTTTTTCTATTCTCTCTTTATTCCCTTTAATATTTGATATACAAAATGAATGATTCTTTAGCAAGCACAAACACATCTGCAGGTATATTATAAACAAATAATTAAATAATAAATAATAATAACAGTATTCAAATAGGAACTTAAGATGTTCACTCTTTTTTATTCACCTGAAAAAGGAACATTTCATTGAAGAGCTGTGCGATGCTTGGTATGATTATCATCTTATGTTCCTGTCTGATTACTGTTTTTATTATTTATCTGTTGTTTATATTGTATTTACGGTGCTACAAATCAAACATATATATATAATATATATTTGTATAATGTCTTTGACCAACATATTACAGACAGGATTACTATAGGCCAATTAAATAATAAATAATAACAGTATTCAAATAGGAACTTAAAATGATCACTCTTTTCCATACACCTGAAAAAGGAACTTTTCATTGAAGGGTTGTGCGATGCTTGAAATAATTAACATCTTATGTTCCTATCTGATTACTGTTTTTATTATTTATCTGTTGTTCATATTGTATTTACGGTGCTACAAATCAAACATATATACATTTGTATAATGTCTTTGACCAACATTTTACAGACAGGATTACTATAGGCCAATTATTTTGTATACAAAAAATATAAGTTTCAGTAAAGGATTAAAAGGTTTCATACCGGCAAAATATGTTGAGACCGAGTTATAGAATAGGTCTACATTTATACTGTAGCATCTGTATTTAATTCTCTATTCCACTTTATTTTGGTTTTTAAAATTTTATTAACTGCTTACTATATTTTCTCTTATTTTTTAACCATTCCAAAGTAATGAGGTTTGCATATACCCAATTGATATAACTCATATATTTTTTGTGAAGGCATGCTGGTCTTTTTAGGGTATTTCCACCACGCCAAAAAATCATGCACAATTTGATAAGATGATTACATTTAACTTTTATCAGAATTCACTTGAATACATTTTTTTTTAGTGTTTTTATAAAATTGACAAATTTCTGCTTTAATTAAAGCTCTGTTCACACTATCACATTTTATGTGACAAATAAATGTTATGTCCTCATTTTGGATGTAATATGACATCACCATTAATGATCGTATGGACAGAGTTTGATACAATCTAAAAATAAATAATACAGTAATTATGTTATATGCTTGCTTGTTGTGTTCATGTTGGACTTTAATACTAAGTATATGTGTAGACATTCAGCACTGAATGACAATTTGCTACTGATTTTTCTACTCTACCTCAAAATGAATTTCTTCAAAAACCATTTATATTAAATATTATAATGAATTGTTCTATTTTATATTTAATTTAATATAAACTTAATC